GTAATTGATATAATTTTGAAGACTGTAAAACTACTTTGTTAAGTCTGCGTGTGAAAGCATTATATACCATTCTAAGGCTGTACAGATTCGATTTTGATACTAACAACTATTTTACCGTAACGCCTTATCAAGGCGTCCGTTACAGTAATTTTCTTAATAACCCTGATACACAGGACGGCGTCATAAATTGTATAAGAACATTAAAGTGCGCCCTGACGCGGCGCCAGACTTCAAGATCTGTTCCTCTCTTAAATGATTATACGATGTCGTTTAATTATTTAGAATTGCATAGCTTATTAAAATAGGCTCCGTGTCGATGATTAATATCTCATTAAATTGTTTACAGTCTGATTGTTTGAGGTATGAAGTTTATTAGTGTACTACCTGTTCCCAAACGGCTTCATCCATATAAACTTATAAAAACTATATTTTATTGTTTACATTAGTCAAATTCACAATTGCAAATTTCAAAATTCAAATGCACAGGATTGACATTGGATGCCAAATACCGTACCATAGCAATTTTGCTTCTGTAATGTTGGCAGCTTGTAGTTTATGGTCCCTTGAAATGAAAATGCAAAGCCTTAAGCGTGTCGAAAGTTTATAGCATTTTTTTAAGGAAAGAATTATTTCAAAATATTATGTGATTGCTGACATCCTACGCCACGAAGAAGTGTGTGTTTACGCTTTATTACATTATAGTATAGAACTATAGATTTATAGGCGTCCTGCTCTGAGTCTCAAATCAAGCGTCGTAACAAATACACATTACAGGAAGCCGTTAAAAATAAAGTGAATCATGATTCGTAATGAGTCAATCAGTAACTGTGCTGAAGTAAATGATTTGCTATTAACATTTAACAACGACTAAACTTAGTACCATGTTCTTAAAACATTACAAAATTTGCTACGAAATCTTAATTTCAACCACCAAGAGACCTATAATTTTATACTCCAGCTTATGATAGTAGACCAGGGGCGTGGTGCGGAAATCTGCGCAATCACTTTTATCTCAGTATTTGACGAGCTGACAAATTATACAGCGGTTCAGTTGTTTTAGCACAATTTCTAGGTTCTCGATACTTAATTGGGAGCTGGTTACTTTCACAAGGAAATGATAGCTAATCAGCTAATATGACATTATTTAAGACTCGCTATACTGGATCCATAATTCAAAAGTTGCAATAAAATCGATGTTTTATACTTCGGATTTGTTGTTGGGTATTCGATTAATCGATTTGATATAAACCCATGTCAATTATTGCACGTAATTGCTGTATATTGTACAATAGAATGTGATAGCGCATCTGTATTGTATAAGGAATTACTTCCATATTTATAGAATTACAGGGTGTATATTTTGTCTAATCGGGATTTTGTTATCTGAAAGTTGGCGTAAACGAAGTTTATAACGGCTATACATCTTCTTGTAGATTATATTCATGTTAGAACAACCAAACAATGCATTTATCAACTGAAAATATAGTCAATATATTTCAAATAGCTATTCTTTGGAACCGTCAGTTTGTTTTATCTAACTTACGAGTTAATTTTTCGTCAGTTGCTGTAGTTACTCTACTTTGTGACTTATAGCCGGTTTCCCAGCTTCAATAATCCGATAGTGATTTGGTTCGATAACTACATGAAATGCGTTTTCGAACTACGTAACTTTAATTTGACTCCATTGAAACTTAGATCAACGAAATATTAAAGAATCACTAGGTAATGTTAAAAAAGGAAACTTAAGCAACCCAGCATTAGTACATTTTATTGCCACGACATTACCACAAATAATAAAAAAAACATCTTTAATAATAGTAATAAATGATCTATTTGTCTTATTCATAGTTTAAATTAAGAAAATCGTGGCTTAGTGTAAAATAAAGTGACTTATTTTTTTATGATTCATACTGTGATTCACGAACGTAACATTGCGACAAATGTCGATATTGTGTGCAAAATCATTTAGACTTGCTCTTAAATAAATGCCAGATCGAATTATACTTAAAGAAAACAGTTGAACAACCAGAAAGCAGTAGCGCAATGCAAATGTATTGGTAATAAGCAGGCGATAGAAAACGACCAAGATTTCAGTACATCAAGCGACAGAGTGCCGACTTATCATTATTGTACAATTAATTTGTCGCCCGCTCCAGAGTAAACACAGCTGCGGTCTGTTATTACGTATTCGAACATACAGCGATCTTAAGTCCCGTTCGATATCCAATGACGGTTTCCGTCCGTTCTCTCACAGGGTTCTCGGTAAATAGCAGCTTTCGAAGTGACAGCAATGATATGTTATCGTTTCACAAATGCATCATATTTACGAGATAGCGTTGTATTATTAAGATTTGTGGCAGTTTTACAGCTGAGCGAGACGTTCCTTGCTCATAATTATTGCATTATTGTGGTTATTTTGTCAATTATTTTTCTAGGCCAGTTGAATTTCTCTTCATTTGTTCTAAGAATTACTTAATGTTTTAAATTTATTCGATGAAACCGTTAAATATGATACAAAAGCCATCAGATTAATTAAGAAAACCTGTCTTGGAGTTCGTCTATTAATTCTTAACATAAATTGCTCATTTTATGTTTAATTACCGTTTTATTTTGATGGGAGGTACGCATTTAGATTAGTATACGACAGAATACTTTATATGTATTTTATTAAGTGGTCGATACTTGTTAACGTTTTAGGAAGCTAAAACACAGCTACTTTTTGCATTTATTGCCATTTCTATTGATAAAACTAGTTCTGTTTAAGATAAAATGTGAGTTTATGGTCTTTTGCCTATCTTATATATAATATTCTAAAGGAAGCTTTCAATAAGAAGTGTAAATTATAACTAAGTAGCTTTCAACCGCGACTCTGTCTGCGAGGAACTTTAAAAAAGTAACCAATTGTTTCTCCAGACTACGCTCTACATTTATGCTAAATTTCATCTAAATTTGTTTAGCCGTTTAGACGCCATACTCTAACAAACATCCATCTAAACTATCGTATAAAAATTATTAGTAGATTTAATTTTATTTGCTTTGTACAGTAATTACACTGATACGACGTATGTACCTAGTAATTAACAAAATAAAAAAAAAGTAAGAACCTAACATATTGTACGAAAGTAAGTAATTAAAACAATCATATTTATAGAGAAACTAGCTTTCGTCAGCGACTCTGTCCGCGTGGAATTAAAAAAAAAAGTAGACTATGTGTTCTTCCAAACTAATGTTCTCCATTTATGTTATTTTTCATAGTCGTTCAAACTACAAACTCTAACAAACATCCATCTAAACTTTCGCATTTATAATATAATTATGGAGTACGATTTCAAATGAGAAAGTATTATATGTTTACTGATAATAAGTAGCTTCTATTTCCGGATGGTTACTGCAAGTCGATTAGCCGATCTCATCGGCCATCTGCAGCCCATTACCCACGTCTGCGTGTAAAGGCGCAAGTTATTTGCACTATCACATGCAGTTATGATCAACTGATATGGTGGACGGAATTTATTGTGCAAGATACGCAAGGCTAACACGATTCTTGGATTTTGATTATTCTTTTTCTTAGCTTTTGTCCCAACTGTCCCGGAATTAAAAAAGTAGCCTATGTTCTAGAGTATTCTACATCTACGTCATGTTTCTGTATGTAGTAGTTAGCAGCCATCCCTCCATCTAAACATTCACATTTATGTTTAGTAAGATGAAGGATTTTTTTTTCATATTGTTGTAGTTTTTGTCTTCCAAACATTAATATAAGTTACCTATTTACAGATAAACAGTAAATATATCACAATCAGGAGTTGATCTTATTTCCTAACTCGTCCAATTTTCGCGGTATTCTCGTTGTAAATAACAATAATAGGCAATTCGAGCCCAAATAGCTTTGCAATGGGATCGATGGCATGGCTCGGCAATCTATAGCGATTACTGTCAAACTGTAAAGGCTTCAGTACCGTTACCCCTCACGGCCTCAGAAACCCTTCATCTCAATAATATTAAATTAGAACAACGAATATATAGAATACGCAAAACGATAAATCTATATAATACAAATCATTGCAGGAGACATCAATGGCAACCCTTAAACGAAGGAATAAATTAATATGATTAAAGTGCACTACTCAAAGTCTCTAATTGGTCACTAAGGGAGGCACTTAGTGTTGTCCATTATAATATACACTAAGGGGATTTTGTAATGACTAGCAGCAGTAAACTTGCTTCCTTTTCTTATAATAGATGTTTACTTTCATCTAAAAAAATTGCTATTTGAAAAAATTACAGTAAAATAAATCGATATGACGAAAAAAGTGACATCCTATATGTCGAAATATGAGCGATTATTTTGAAAACACATGAATATTCTGGATTATCAGAATATCGGATAACTTATAAGCCATAATTTTACCGTCAAATACTTCGTACATGTTTTTGTACGTACTTGAGTACAAATCTTGCAATTTATGATGGATCACGGCTTGGGGCGGTCGGCACTGACGTTGTCAGAACTATGTTGTACACCCCAGGCCCTTCACTTATCTATTTGTACTATTGTAAAGTAAATTCATATGATTGTTATGTATTTATCTATATTATCAACAACGACAATTGATATAAACTCTAAATTGGACTATGTTTAATTATTTTTTTTACTAAAAAAACAGGACAATCCACACTTCGTTAACTGTTTTACATACTAGATAGAAAAAATGGAGTTGCATCCGTTTGTTTAGTGTCTAGTAACCAATAAGATCTACTGATAACAAAATTATTGATTGTGATATATAACACTGACATCGGTTTATGTGTAAGCGGCGTTACAAGTCGGCATTTATCAACGATTAGGTTTATGAAACAGAATTAAACGGCATTTACATTCAATCGTATGTTCTGCATAAAGCCAACGATACAAGAACATGAAAACGGCTAATTTTTAATTAGGGTCTCGTGTTAAGGTTTTCCTAATACGGTAAACATTGAGGAAATTTATTAAACACCTTTTATGCTAACTCAACATTATTACTCACATATAAATGAATCATAGTTCCGCTATGCACCACTAGATGGCGCTGTAATAAAATACCAACATTTGATGCCATAAATTTTCATGTTGTATCATAAATGATGTTTATTGAATTATAACTCACCTTACAGCTTCCTTGAACGCAAATTGCTCTGAATCCCGGCTTAGTGCAGGGCGTGCCGTCAGCAACTAGCGCTAACGAGGCATAGAACTGCTGCCCACGAGGTCTGCAGTTGAGAATGCAAGGAGCATTTCCTGTAAAACAACTTCTATTTAATAAAAGTTATAGTTAAGACTTGTGTACATAAACTGTTACGCTTGTGGGTTGGTCTTACCATCAACATAAGGCACCCAGGTGTAAAAGCGGCCACGGAAAGGTCGCCGGTCATACACCGCACATTGCTCTGCTCGTGAGTCCCGCTTGCTGCCGGGACACGGCTGTGTACAAACAATGTTAATTTATCGTGACATAGATGTGACCTTACTAAAGTCACTCATTACTTAAACAGACTCGTACCCGTCGGTAACGTGCTTGAGCGACAATTTTCTTATTACAAGGCAAAACTTTAAGAAGATTAACCACGCATCAAATATCAGTTTTTTTTAGACTTACACAGAAAATTACAAGTTAATTTAAAATACAAAGACCACGGTATTAATCACAATTACATATCTACTTAGGAGCCATCGAAATTTAAAGAATAGTAAGAGGTTAAGTGCAATAAAGTTGTAACTCTTGTAACTTTTTGTAAAAGCTATCTAAATACCATAAAAATGATTTATTGATGTAACAATAGATTATACAAGTTAGTCAGATGTAGGGACTTCCTTTTAAGTAACCAATAGGCACTTGTGTTAAGAAGTCCCGCTCTTCCTTGTAACATATAATGTCAGGTATTCATTCACAATCTATATTATTATAATAAAGCGTAAAAACACACCACTCTGTGGCGCAAGATGTCAACAATCACAACACATTTTGAATAATCCTATCTTTAATATAAAGGACCATACATAACTAAAGTTTGTCGCAGTAACATGCAAATACAATGTTATGTTCTTGTACCCTTTGGCTTTATGTTTTGGCTTTCTCTTAAATATAAGAGTGTCAGAATTACATGTCTGATGACAGATTAAGAGCACGTGTGTAATAGTTTATCTATTAAAATCTTAATACAAGCCATTGTTCAATATACATGAGGTTCTTTTCATAACCTTTATGTTCAGGTTATCTGTATTCCGATAACCCTTACTGTCGCACTCAGAGAAACAATTAAACTTTCGCTTAGTGTAGATGTATTACTATAAATCGATAAGAGTATTTACTGACCAGGTGAAATTATTAGATTTGCTTATCACCAATATTATTTTTAATTTGACTGCAATTTTTTAATTTACTTTTTAAGTTAAGAAGCTAAGAAAAGAAAATGTGAAAGGACCGATCATTGCGAGTATTATCGCACGAGAGTAACAACAATGTTCTTCTAAACCACAAATTCAATAATTAAACACCATGTGTTAAAAATTATATAAACGTTAATATCTATTGAACGTAAGGATGGAATTTTAACGACACGTTTTATTTGGTCCGGACAGGACATTTATATGGTGTCCAGTTTACTGACTCGACTGGTATGCTGTGAATTTAAATTGGTCACTATAATTAATTACCATTCTTGATTTTGCAGGCGTATTTAAGTCACGCGTTTTTAAAAGATCACTCAGCGGCTGACGCTGTATAATAAATTAATGGGATATGTTAAGTTTTTTGAATGACAATAGATGGCGTGATAACCAACTTGTTGGGTGGTCTATCTTAAATATAAAAATGATAAAACTGGAAATACTCTAATCTAGGACTTACATATGTGGAAGGTTTCATCATAATAGGTGGAATTTACCCAGAAGGTAACCCATTTGAAGGTAAATTTTATCTATATTAATATTGTATAGAGGAAAGATGCTGCAAGAAAGATGCAACATTGAATAGGCAGTGAATCCAAAATTCTGTCATGATTACATTATCACTGAGTACATGTTTATTCTAAAATTCTAATACTTTTCAACAGGAAGGCTATGGTTATGACAGAAAAGATTTGAGATATATATTCTTTGCCAGTTAAGCGAAGCTGAGGCAGATTGCTAGTCAAACATATTATGAAACAAAACAAACGAAGTTCTAATTTTTTTAACATAAATAAACCAGAGCTTGACCACGACTCCACCTAAGCTAAGTGAAGACGCGGTCGAAGTATAGATGATTGAGCTATGTTATTTGTTATTCTGTTTAAAATAAGTAGAAAAAATATTATGTATTCTGTAATGTCATGTTAAATTGGTTTAATGATTTGCGGTTCTATTTATCAGTAAAATCTAAATATCTAAAATGTTTAAAATTTTAGACTCTAATGAGAAACATAAATATATTTTGAAATGGTAGATTCTTATCTGACGCTTTATGTAAATTAAAATTTGAGAAGAAGTAAATTTTTATATCATAGGTAAAACTAACAAAGTGAAATCAAAGTTGGTAATAATTTGGTTTTTTACTTTGTATCTATAATCTTAAATAATAAAAATTATTACTTTATTCTAATTATAATAAATAGACACAATAAAAGAAAACAAATAACATATTTGATTAAGTAATAACTTCGATATTAGGGTGCGTACAGATACTGACCTACGTTACGCGGTATTACATGGCGAGCAATAAGGCCGTAACACGCGGGAAATGTACGAGGTATTTTCCGCGTAACAATACGTGGTGACATGAATGTTCGTCGTGTAACATATTACAATACAATACGTATTATTAGCTAGTAGGCACCTTTAGATTTAGACATTTTGGACACAACTGACATAAAACAAAAGAAACGCGTGTATTATTAAAAAGAAAACTACGTCATTTTCTGTAAATGACCCCTATCATTTTCTCTGTGCGCTCCGTGCGGTCGGCATATTACGTACGAGTGAGTAACGAGTTGTAATGACAGTAAGTGCGATTCTCACCGCAGTGTTGCACTCGTGGTAGCGGCGCCCCAGGCCGGCGCAGTCAGGTTCCGGTCTCGTGATGACGTTCCTAGATCGCCGGCCCAAGTCAACGCTTCTAGTCAGCTTTCTTCTCTTTCTGCTGCGACGCCATCTGAAATGATAAACAATAGTTTTTAGTAACTAGGTACATTGCAACACTATGTTTTAGAACATAGTGATCATCGCCGCTAATAATGTTAATGTATATTTTTCTACCCTCAGCCGTGTTTTTTACTCTGAGTCGCTATGAATTTCCACCAATGCGACTTTAACTGCTTTACGAGTACTCAACTGTAGGCTATCCGTTAAGTGAAAATTAGATCTTATTATTATAATGACTAGCTGTTGCTGTGCGGCTTCATCCGCGTGAAATTTTTATTTTGTTGTTTACATTTGTCAAATTATGAATAGCAAATGTCAAAATGACATGACATGACATGACAAACCTTAGCAACCTTTCTTTCTTGATGTTGGCAGCAACTTATGGTCTCTTTCCCACATTAGATTTTAATTCATAATATTTACCCCCTAAGTTTAATGGCAAGAAAATATACAGTCTAAAGCATGACGTAAGTGTAGGGCTTTTAATTAAAAAAAGAATTATTCAAAAATATGCTTCTGACATCTTGGCAACAAAGAAGTGTGTATTTACGCTTTATTATAATAGTATAGAGTATAGATAACGAACGTAATCCTTTAAAAAAGTTTAATTAAAGGCCTACAATGCTTCATACTAAGATTCCTTAGCAATTGTTAGGCAATCCTTGGTATATAATAACTAAAACTTTGTTATTTTTGTAAGAACTGTTTGAGATGTTTCTACCGAGCCGCTTGGGTGCTTTTATTAAGTCATTAATTGTAATTTTAGTAATAAAATGGACACATATGAGGTTATTACATTAACATATAAGAGCTTGACTTATGCCTGATATCGAGATAAGATTTCAATCTTAATGTGACACAACTAGTTTAAATATATGTCGTCAGAATGTTAAAACACTATGTTTACGATATCGCATCTTGTGACGGAAATGAAAGTTGCCAAATGAAAATAATACAGTTAATTTTAAAATAATTTTTAAACGAACAAATTAAACTACAAAAACATTACAGCTCTGTATAACAAACTACCTGTTACCATGCGACTTCATTCGCATGAAATTATGAAAATTGATTTATTGATTATATTTGTCAAATTCAATTGCAAATGTCAAAATGATAGACTGACATGATGACAAATCATGGCAACTTTGCTTCCTTGATGTTGGCATCAACTTATGGTCTCTTTCCCACATTAGGGTTTTTAAGTTTTAAGTTATTTTTAAGTTACCCCTAAGTTTAATGGCGTTAAAATATATAGCCTAAAGCGTGACGCAAGTGTAGGGCTTTTTATTGAAAAAAGAATTATTCAAAAATATGTTGTAATTTCTGACATCTTTGGCAACAAATAAGTGTGTGTTTACGCTTTATTATAATAGTATAGATATATAGAATATATAGATATAGATACTCGTAGATAAGAACTGTCGCAACGCTGCCCTCCTGGACAGGCTGAAAACCAGCTCCGCATGGCTTAGGTCATACGGCCCACCCTGAGCCTGCAGCCCATTGTTGTCCATTTTTCTTTTTTTTATTTAGCTCATAAGAAACTGTTTTTGTGACAACAGTAAAAGTCTTTTTATTTTTTTATTTTTTATTTATAAGTATAGATAGTGTAGATAATAGTCAAATTTCATAGTATGACTATTAACACATTCTGTTAACTGTTACATTGCAATAGAATGCACTGCTTAACTGCCTTTATCTACAGTTGTACGGCGATTAAATTGTTCTGTATGTGTCCAGTGTTAGTGAGTAACAATTGTGGGCATCCGTGACCCAAATGATGATGTTATCTGTAAAGGTACATCATTCTGTATTCTGCTTCAAGTAAGAAAGCTAACTTCAAGCAGAATGCATCTAATGGTGTTGAGATTAAGAAACATTAAGTAAGGTATGCTATTTTTAAAAATAAACTTAACGGTCCCTTGGAGATCTCATAATCCTCTCCAGTCGCAATCAAAGATGCTTACTGAGGGAATTCTGTGAATTTAGTCTCTCAATCTTTCCCATCAGAAAGGAAAATTGAAGATCAACTTATCAAACACGTTGTAGACCCATCTATAACTACAACAGGTTATACCAATATTATACGCTCAATTCTCAGAGCTCTTTCACCGTGTCAGTGGCAGTCAGCACGGTGGCCGTTTGATTGCCGCTTGTGTTGGCTGCGAATGACGCTGATTGTTAGGGTTGACCCACACCTAGCTCGTTTTGTCATTGACTGACTCGCGCGCTGAATGTCTTTATTTTGTTGTTACATTCTCATCCGTATCATACGACCATAAAGGATAACTTTGATGATTTATTGTTGTTATTTTATTATCTACATTGAATGGTGATTGAGTCCTTACTTCACAGAAACTAACATATATTAAAATAGCACTTAATACAATAGTAATAAAGAGCGTTTAAGGTTATAATAGAACAAGTTTTAAATTAAACTGACGAGAAGTCTTTCATAGGATCACTCAATTAGAACGACAGTCATAACTTCATTCATCCTAAAGCAATAAAAAGAAAACTACAGTTTTAATAACATACCACATATGCGTACGACAAAAACGAGAAACATATAACAGATTTCTGCATTATCACGCAATCAAGAGTGTAAAAGCTGAACAAATTATCCTTGGGTTGATATTTGTGTTCCAAGCTCATAGGAACAAGTAATCGTATTGTTTCCCTTCTTATTGATGCACTCTACGGGATGCCACACATTCGTCTTTTGTTTTGTAATTAAAATGTTTGAAACTGTTATATCATTGCATCTTATAAGTCTCCTACAGTGATTACTTCATTAACAAGTTACATTTGTATCGATTTTTGACGCATTATTAAAGTCTTCGAAGTAATTTGTTGTTTTATAACCACAATTTTTAATAGAATATTTCTGTCTTCATTTAAAATTTATTTTGTTGTGTGGGATACTGCTTTTGTGTGAACGTGTGTATATTAAATCAATTACTCATGTTACTTGTCAATTTAATTTTGACCTCTTGTAGTCTAATCGACTTGTATAAAATAGTAAACTGTCTTTAGATTTGAATTCTTTTCCATATCGCATATAACATGAGGTGGCAAACGAGCAATCAGCACCTAAATCCGCCAAAATGACGAAGCGACCGCTACCCATAGACATCCGCAATTGCAGATGCGTTGCCTACCCATATCCGACGGAGGATGAGAAACACATAAAGAGAATATTTCACCTTCCTATGCATCTCCTCTACCGTTAAATCCAATTCCCGTTCCCATCCTCTCCTTATAAGAAAAAGGTGGTAAAGGACAAGGGAATTAAATTAGGCCTCCTGCACCACACTCATCAGACGAAAGACGGAATTGCTTCAATTTCACGCCTGTCTTCTGTGTGGTCGTGGCGTGCCGGCCCATTCGTGCTAAGATGTTAAAGCGGGCACTACCACTGTTAAACTGTTAGTTATTGTGGTTTAACCTTTCTACTAATTTAAGGCGTCTTAATTTTGAGTCGAATCCATATAAGCTACTCCACCTAACATGCGCTAATCAAACATTCAACTGTATTATATTTTGAATGCGTTCCTAAACAATCGTAGCAATAATTCTTAATATCAAGCATCAGCGACAATGACATTGATTTGTGTGTCTCAAGTGATATTTAAATGCAAGCCAAGGATACATTGTGTCTGATATATAGACGTCACGCGAAACTGAGACATATAACATTACAGAAATTTTATATCTAGAAAGAATTAAATGATTTGTTCTTTTTTATTTGACATTTATAATTATGAAATATGTATTATTCGATTAGGTTACTCAGATCACGATGACTTTGGATATAAATTGTTAAATATAATAGTTAAGAAAATCTTGAGTTTTAAATTGTGTTGGTCAGCTAACCAGAACTAACTAGAACAGGCAACAAACTGTAACCAATTTAAACTGCACTGGGTTTTCCTAATTATTACAAAGTTGGAAAAAGATGTAACTTTAAAAAGAAAGAAACTCTACTAGATTTCAAAGTTAGTTTACTTACAAAAATGTTTAATTATGCTTTTATTTAACAAAATAAATTGTAACCGAAAGAACCAAATAGAACATATTCTTGTAAAATCTCTATGACGTAAGTGTAACAACTAAACAGGATCATAATATTTTGTAATTTACTGGAGCTTAAGGTTGTATCGGCAGTAACGTTTTCCAATTTATTATACGTATTTCCAATTATTACCTGTCGAGTTTATTAATTGGTCTCTTTAATAATAATAAATTATGATACTTACTATATCGATTTTGTCCATTTCTTTGACTATTTAATAGAAACAGCGTTTATAAAAGTCACTTTAACTACAAGATTGAACCGAAAACTGTCGGATAGCATTAATATCTTACCAATAAAGTTATTAATAAAATTTACGAATTCTCATAGATTAGGTAGGGATTAAGGTAAAGATTTTACTTATATTATTATTATTTGCCGTTCTTTGTTATGCAGTTTTTTATCATAATGGTAAGAGAGGGATAACGATATAATGTATTTCGATAATGAAAATCACCGGTAATACAAAGATATTAACCGTTTGTTACACATCAAAAATCGTGCACGAAAACATCTGACTTGAAATGGATCGTGACTGAAGTTGCTAGCTTCACTTGGGAAGGTCAGTTTGCGGTAAACGTTAACCATCATACTAGTAAATTAAAATCAAAATTGTTAACAAAATGAAACAAATAAATAATTTATTTAACAATGAATTAAACGTTAAAAAAAATTTACAGTAAAGACCGTAATCTTACTAATATAAATGCGAATGTTTGGAAGGATGGATGGATGGATGAACGTTTGTTAGAGTTGCCTAAACGTCTGAATGGATCTTGGTGATATTTGGCATAGATGTAGAACATCGTTTGGAAGAACACATAGACTACTTTTGCTTTTTTTAATTCCACGCGGACGAAAGCTATATTTATAAGCCCACTGTTTTGAAGAAAGCATAAATGTAAGATAAACTATATTGATGAACATTATAAAACAACTTTGAATTGTATACAAAGAGCTGAAAGCAATACTGATAAAAACATGTGTAAAGATTTCATTAAGACAGTGAACAAAATAATTGTCAGACATTCTAATACATCGTATTACGTAGCAATAGATAGATTATCATTAGGTGTAAAAGAAGCCAGTTAACAATTGAAGATCATTAGTGACTATTTAAAAGCACTGACAAAGTTTAAAAGGGTCGTAATTAATTATAAATAACCATACATAATTCTGTCAGTGAGTTCAAGGCTCTACTAATTAAAAGATATTTACAACAAGAAGCGTCAATTGACATAATTATCTTGACAGTTCGTGAACAATCTCTAACGCGAGTCATTTTAAAGCAACTACTTATTTAGTAGCCCAGAAATTCATTATAGCCAACTAACGTCATCAGTGAACAAGAAGATTATTTCACTCATATCTGACTAATACATTATTCTCTTCTACCTGGCCTTATTCACTTCTATTGGTTGACGTACCGGCTTTACATCCTCCAGATCTATCATTGTCATTTCAGTCTATTTTGTATACCCTTTTTCATAATGTTACTTTAAACACAATTCATTTATTTCTTCTTAACTGATGTGATCTCATACATGTTCTCACGTAGGTTTTTAAACTATATGATTAGTATTATTATGACTTGAGCGGACTCTAGGAGTTAACCATATTCATTCTTTAATCTACAATCGATTTACATAGCTTCATAGATACGACAATGTTAAGAATACACCTTCTAAAAAGTGAATAAATCATCACCTAACTAGAGATAAAAATTATTTATGCCTTCACGTGTATACAAAATGTTCCGAGAACTGTATGAATGCTTGAAGAAAATTTATACAACCTAGATAATGTAAACTGTACCTGGATGAGCTACACAAGAGTAAGGTAAAAGTAGGTCGCATGTGGTACAAGTATGAATGGGTTAGATCTGTGGGCAAACATTACTGAGAGAGGATAATAATAATAAATAAAGAAAACCTAGAATACAAATTGACTATCTCACTCATATTAGTACCGCTGGCTGACGTACCCTAACTAATGATAGCTTCGATGTATGAAATTCTCTTTAAACTGAGTACTAACAGACGTTATAGGGTGTAATGTACGAGTACATTACACGGCGAAAATTCATGTGGTTATCATTATTACATCTCGTGTCGCCATTTCATCCAACCTGCATTTATTCGGCTTAACAAATCCCGGTCAACTACACCGTCGGACTTGACTAGAGAACCGAGGTACTTAAAATCGAAGCAGGTTGGCAGAGGCACACCATTTAAGGCAATTGCAGAGAAGCTGGTCAGACCGCCAAAATCGCAAAATAAATGCTCTGTTTTGGTCCTACTGGTTAGTAAAGGTAAAAGTAATTAATTTTTAACAACATCTTTCTAAGGTTTACATACCAAACTTTACAGTTCGTCTTATAAAATTTATATGGCTGGTTAAATTAATATTGCGGCCGTAATGATCGGCGAGTCGTTACACTGCGTTTAATTACTCTATTGACGCAGGTCTCTGTACTGATCGTAAATCTATAGGAAACAGTCGGTTCCGTTCATTTAATGGCCGTAAAAATTAAATGTACACGTAATTTCGACAGTCAGAATTTCAAAAGTTTAATATAACAGTGGCTATTACTTACGTATTTAATAGAAGAAAGAAAGTCTTTTAAAGAACTTTTCAAAATAGGTCTGACATTGCAATTTTGTTGTTCATAATTAAGAGCAATGAATTCTATTTGTTGATCAAATAACAGTAATATTTTTCATCATCATTCTAAAAGTAAAACTGTAAAGGTACGATTCCACTGTCTCTTCTGTCATCTCGTGTCGAGAATCCATTATTACGCTCGTGGTTGTCTCGTTAACCAGACACCAAACAATACGATACACGCTGACTCAGCGATCACATTAATGGCCTTAAAGTACATTCACATCGAAAAATTCAAAAAACTCGGTGTAAACAATGAGATAACAATCGATAGAGCTGGCGAATGGACATCAAGTGATTGTGCGTCGATCAAAACCGCTGTCGAAGATCGTGTGTTACTTGTAACCGTATATACGGTTGAGCCATTAAAGTTCAATATTAGCTTAATTTGGTATGTTATACGCAAAGGGCTGACGGGGTCATTTTAAAAAACATTACACGATGTAAGAATAGACATGCCAAAATTGCCCTTAAAATACGTTTTGACATTGAATCGATTGGAATTTCTGACAATGATCTTGAACATTACTTATGTTTTTGTTTCTTCTGATAGATACAGCACTAATACAAATATTACCACCATAAAATTCTCTGTAAGCACGTTTCGAGGTTCATCTATACCATATTAATGTAATTTAAAGTTGTAACAGTCCATAGCAACGTAAGACGCTTGATAGTTTGAAAGCCGAACAAAATTCACGTGTCCAATCAACAGTCGTAACCGGCACATCTCACTCAATATTTGCGTCATAGTTTGATAGCGTACGCATTTCAATTGTGCGGTGGTAGAAGAATACGTTGCTTATTAAATAACGATATCGCCTTCAATTAGGGTCAATGTTTGTTTAGAACCCAATTCTCTTTAAATGAACACGAAATTTAGAATGCCACCGTGAATGTACACGATAGACTAGAACATTCCTACATTAATTGTGTCTTTCTTTTCTTGATGAATGGATGGATGTTTATTAGAGTTGTAGCCAAAACGACGGATATCGATGAAATTTTGCATAGACGTAGAGGATAGTTTGGAAGAGTATATAGGGTACTCACTTTTAATTTTTTAATTCCAAAACGAAGACGAGAGCGAATGCTAGTTATAAATAATTGCTAAAAGGATATATTTAAAGAATAAAATTGTAGATATCTCACAGCGAAAGTAAAGATAGAAAAACAACATTGTATTCCTTAAATCTGCATCGAATATATTGCAAACTTTGTTCGAACCTATCGAACTACGATATAAATATAATGATATCAAATTTCTTGAAAGCGTGAATTCTTGATAGTGGATAGATAGGGATGCGTGAAGTACAGTTGCGATAAACGCGAGGTGCGAGCGAGGAAGGCTCTCCCGGGGAGGCGACGGAGTATCGATCACGCGCCGTATCATTAGATATCATTGTGATCTATGATCAATGGTGCGCCTGCGCACGCCACAGATTAGGGTTGAACAAACTCAAACGTAAATATGTGGCTTTATATTTATCACTAGATGTTCCCGTGCAGCTTCACCCGGAGGAAATTATTAAAAAAAACTATCTATTACAAATGTCAAAATGACTTGACATGATAACAACCCATGGTAAATTTGTTTCCTTGATGGTCCCTGTCCCACGTGGATTATTTTTCTAATTTATTTACCCCCTGAGTTTAAAGGCGTGAAAATATATAGCCGTTCGTTTGCGTAGGGCCCTGAATTAAAGAAGGAACTATTCAAAAATTTGGTGTGATTGCTGACATCCTACGCCACAAAGTAGTGTATGTTTACGCTTTTCTATATTAATTTAGATTAAGCATTTTTACTGTATACTCCTTATGCTACAATTTGCTTTGCAATAAATAGACATTGAATTGGCTTCTTAGGACAGTAGACTTTGCAAAAAAAATTAACTATGGTAAGACTTTTATTTTTTCCTCCAATATTTTTGAAGGAAATCTATATCCTTTTAATTAAATTTTACAAGGTTAATATTAATCTTAATAAGAATGTCATCAAATCACGACAAGGACATCGGATACAAACAAAAGAAAATTAGAAAAAGGAGACATGGATTCTGTGGAAATATCATCGTATCTCGACCCTATCGTTTCGTGACACTGACAAATAAAGTTGTCTAGGATGCTTGACTGCAACTTCATTCAATAAATCCCACTGTTCTGTTAAAAAGTGGGAATTCTCCCACGCTGCTTACTAAACTGTAACGACGCTATTTTTTCCGAACACGAAACTGGCCGCTTACAAAATTGTTTCATCCTATCTGACGTTTGTTTTTTGTACACACAAAAGGAGTTATAAAATAGTAAGTTCATTTGTACGACAATGCTTCTTATCTTAATAGCTGTACCGGCCCTTATAATGAAACAATTAAGACAATACGGAACAAACAATAGGAGAAAAAAAAAGTGAAAACGTCCGACATTAATCTTCTTCACGTGCTGGCTTGTTTGTTTTCCAGCGACGAGCACTGATTCGATTTTTAAACTATAGAGGATTATTTTCAAGATGGACGTCTTTTAATTTTTATCTCGTCCCCTGTCCGTTAAAGAAAAGGTTTTTGAATATTAATAGGATTCGAGATAGATATCTGGGATACGGTTACATTTTACGTAGTACGAAGCGTATGTTCCATTCCTCGGGTATCCCTAAAGGCTTAAACTTTTAGGATTTTACATTAAGCATTGAACTGTAAATAACTACTTAAATTATACATTTGCTAGTTCCTAAAATGTTATTATTTTGTTGCAAATAACGTCTTTTTTAAATTACTAGCATTTGCCCGCGAATCCGTCCGCATAGAATTAAAATAATAAATTAAGTTACATATGTGTTCTTCTAGTTCTAAATTCTATATCTATGCCAAATAACATCGAGATCCGAATACGTTAATGCTACAAACTCTAACAAACATCCACTTAAACTTTCGCATTTATAATTTAAGTAACTATTATGTTACTTATTGAAATTATTTGAATATAACGGTACTCATCAATTTTAGATCTCTTTAATTTGTAAGGGATGTGCCATACTAGTGGCATACCTGGTAGGATCCCGCGGGAGACACTGCCTCTCCTGCACGGCCACACCGCCACCGCACGTACGTGAGCACGCGCCCCACGCACCCCACGTGCTCCATGCGAACAATGTACCATTCGTTCGCATACCGTGCACCGTATCAACCTGAAATTACATACATAGTACAAATTATTACTTGAGCAATAAACTAATATTTAAATTAAAAACAAATAAAATCTACTATCAGTTTCTACAGGACACTCTTATGACAAAGTTGGTCGTATCTAAGCTCACATAGAAACCAATGTTTCATACTATAGATTCATATTTATTACACAATCAATATTAAAACGTAAGGTAAGTGTACCACTAATTGATAGTTACGTTTCATTAAAGCGTAATAATCTTGTTCATTTTTTCAATGCTAGTAGATACATTTTTTTACTAACCTTTTGAGGTCATTAAATAATTTAGGCCTTCAGGCAACCTATCTTGTACCTTTTTTATTTAAAATAGGGCTTTTAACAACTGGGTATCTAGCGGTTTTTGGGTCTTTTACCTTACTGTTTTTCTAGATTCGTTTCATGTTTTTGAAGTATAGTTAGAAACTTAAGAAAACATTCGAATTACGTCAAACACACTGTTTACCTTTGAAACGAAACAAATGGTTTAATTTCTTTGATGGAACGCCAACTCTGTTATTACCTTCAAGAACTCTTTGAATACGTTTTGTTTATTTGCTTATTAACAAAATAATACAGCGAATTGTAAATTTACCTCAGGAAACAAAAACATTGTATCATGTGTCATCATTTGTTGCATTTCAAAATTGAAAATGTACATGCAGTAAAGTTATGTTAAAAGCTTCGTTATTTGTTTTATTACTTCCAAATTGTATTATCCCTGTCAGAGAGAGAGAGTGAGAGAGAGTGAGAGAGAGAGAGAGAGGGAGAGAGAGAGAGAGTGAGAGAGATATATATATATCTCCCGCATACAGAAGGGTCTTTACCCTGTGTTAACCTTACCTATTTTACATATCTGTGAGATCGAACAGGGCAAGGAGAACAACATTTTTCCTTCTACAGATTTATCAGTCGTCAATCTCTTAATTATGTCACTATAAGCGCAATCTTAGCATCTCCATTTAATAGACCTTAAATAGAGAGACCTCCCACTGAAGTAGTATGTACCTATTCAAAGTCATATTAAAAGTTCTTGTCAAGTTTCCTTAACTTCGAAGATTTCCTTATATTGGCGTGTCATTATTTTAAAACTTACCGTCTGAACTTCAGTGCTGGTAGACAGTGCGGTTGTTAGTGGTTGTCTTGTGCAAACTGTGATTAATCTGAAACAATATATATAACTTTAAATCCGAGAAAACGTATATTTAAATAAAATAACCTTTAAAATGTTGTAATGCGTTGAGATAACTAGATATAATCAAATACTAATGAGAATTGATTTTAATTTTGGTATTCAAATAAATTATCTAATTGTAGTTACTTACAAATAATGACTTCTAAACAGAAATGATGTTACACGCAGAATAGCGAATGGATTACTGAACATAAACTTAAGGAATCAATAGAGGGTACCTTAATAAAATGTGGTTAAACATTATATACCGTTGACCTAAATATAATTCAGGTAATTAGGTTAGTTATTTTGTTGTAATAACATAAATAAAAATTCAAATAGCTTGTCATATTGTGATTTATCTATAAACGAAACAATGGTGATAGCGAGCAAGGCGTAGACACTCCCTACTGTTATAAACGGGCTGTAAATAACTCTAGGTAACAAAGGGCCCTCTATACTAATCCGAGTGTCAAATGTAACCAATTAGCATTTCCGTCACAATCGGCGCTTGTTCTTTATGCCGCCGATAGAGG